TGATTTTCAATCTTAGGCTTATATCGTGACAGCAGAAGACCTTTTTTATTTTGAAGAATGTTGTTCGAGCTTTCTCTATCCTTGTCTTTACTTCAGTGGTCATGTCCCAGATTTCATGTAAATTAGAACATTTGGACTAAAGACATGATAATAATTATTAATGCATTATTACAGTTACTAAGCAAGAAATCACTTAGAATTGCTTAGGTTTTATATGTATTAAATAATTATATAAGTATACAAGTATAAGTGTAGCATAGCCAACAAGTATTGAAAAGTATACATTGCCATTGTGTAAAAATAGACAACTTCTATAAAAAGATATGTGATAGGTTAAATTATTTTCATGATTAGCAACCAAAAATCTATAAGATACGTCTAAAAGTGTTCAGGAAACAAAATCTTTGTTGTTCATTACTAGAAACTAGTTCAAACAGTTGCTGCTGAACTATAAAGATCTACATGCTTACAATACTATTGTCTAAATTAGATACTGCCTTTGTTCTTCTTGGGAGAAGATGCTGAGACATCGCCCAGGGGTGGGCTGCAACTGGTTTAACAACAGATTTGGTGATCATACGCTTTGTACACGCACTTGCACTTCATGCGTTTCCGTGCCTAACACAGGTTCATATGCATGCGTAGCATTTAAACACTGCCCATTTTAAGCTCTAACACTTACCCTATACTGCAGCGCTGGTAAGTAAAACAGCTGAGGTGTGGCAATCTGCTGTGCTGCGTGAATCAGCTGAGTTGAAAAACACAGAAATCTAGGACAGGATAGGGAAGGGGTGGGTGGGCGGGGCCAACTGCTCACCGGAACTACTGGTTCACCCGAACCGGTCCGAACCAGCAGCAGCCCGCCTCTGACATCACCCCACATCAAGTCTTGATGGCTGATTCCATACTTTGGAGTGGCATTTTGAAGTTTGTGGAGTCCCCTAATCTGTTAGTCTTTCAGAAATTCATGAAGACAATTATTTTTCAGTGAATATTTGGTGATTAATGGCAGACAAGCTGGATATTTTAATAGGATCTATTTTGTACATATAAATAAATTTAGAGATGACCTTTGCATTAAATACCACTAAGGAGGGACTTGGAGAAAGAGTTTCATAATTGTAGAAGCAAGCATGAGAAAACAACTTAGAATGACAGTGCCTTGATTGTGTTAGTATAAAAGGGGACAAATAAAGAATTAGACAGGCTTGTATGATTATATGGTACAATAATAATAAAGTTACATTTCTGGGTCCATTGTATGTGTGGGGTCCATTTCCTGACCTATCTCGAAACTTACAGTAAAATTTTATTGTAATTTATGGGATTAGATGATGTATGAGGGTATTTGTTTGTTTGGTATGTGTTGATATAATATAATTGTAAATTATCTAGACTAGTGATGGCAAATCTTTTTTCCCTCGGGTGCCAAAAGCATATGTGTGCACTCTATCATGACCATAATTCAATACTCCTATGCCTCATCCCCCAGCGCATGCGCGCGCAACGCCCCAGCACCCGTTTTTTTGCCCTCCAGACTCCAGAGGCTTTCTTGGAGCCTTTCACCTGGGGAGGGTGAAAACAGCCTCCTCCTCCCCCCAGAGGCACTCTGGAGGCCAGAAATGGCCCATTTCCTGACTTCTGGTGGGCCTGGTAGGCCTGTTTTTTGCCCTCCTTATGCTCCAGAGGCTTTCTTGGAGCTTGGGGAGGACAAAAAAGCCTCTCCCATCCCTCTGGAGGCTGGAAATGGCCCATTTCCTGACTTCTGGTGGGCCTGGTAGGCCTGTTTTTTGCCCTCCTTATGCTCCAGAGGCTTTCTTGGAGCTTTTCACCTGGGGAGGGTGAAAACAGCCTCCTCCTCCCCCCAGAGGCACTCTGGAGGCCAGAAATGGCCCATTTCCTGACTTCTGGTGGGCCTGGTAGG